TGTCTTTCAACTGGTAAATTTATAAACAACTTATAGCACCGCCGTATCATAGAACACCACGCAGCGGGGACTAATCTTGAAAGGGAAAGGAGTCGGACACAAAAGACTACTTACGTACGGTTGCATTTACTTGACATTCTGGAAATAGAAAGCTATAGTGACAGAGAGTCGATCAGGGTTTACCAGGAACAGGGTGCTGGGGAAGATTCGACTACCAAGGAATATAAATGGGATTTCGGGGGGTTGATGGACCTGTTCTGTGTCTCAGCTACGGTACTGGTTAAATGACTGTATGCTAAATATTTTAAAAGATGACTTTTATTATCTGTACAGTATACTTCAATAAAAAGAAAACCCCTCACGTGGAGGAAAAAACCACTGAAGGATGAATCCAGATTATTCAGATTAAACTCATTACACACTTAAGAGGAGAGCACAGCTTGTAGAGTAGCTGGGTCCAATTTCCGCAGCTTAGGAGGATGCTCAAGTGCAGGGATGGTGCCTAACTTCCCTTCCCATGGGCCCACAGCACTGCCACGTGTGACTTAATAATTCACAGAACAGCCTTGCAAACCAGCACACCGTATATACACTCACAGTCGAAAGACAGTGGGCTGAGAACTTAAACCAGGCATCGAGCCCTGCAGAAATCTTAAGGACTCTATCCCTTCATCCTATTATTTCACTCTGGGTATCTGTGGGGTCCTGGAAGGCTAGTTTGGACAAAAAAATGCAGGGGCTTGCTGGCGGAGGGGAGCAGAGGGAGGGAAGGCCCTGAGAGACGAGGGGCAGACACGCAGTCCTCTCCGGTGAAGGCTTCTAAGGGCTGTGAAGCCGTTTGCTTTTATAATCTATGCGCGGAATTATTCTTTCTCCAGGGAATTTCTTTCATTTGTATGTTCCTCACATTTTCCTAGAATTCCACCTTAAAACGAGCTGGATGGACTTGTGGCCTGGATCTCCACGCCGAAAAGTTCTGCTTGGACGATGACACACTGCAGTTGGAGCTTGCTCACCCACATCTGGAAGCCACATGTCAGCGGCAGCTGTACAAAACGGTCAGCCCAGCGGCCCTAGGGTGACAGTGTTTGCCAGAAGCCCAGCAGCATGGACCGCGCTCTGCTCTGGGTGCTTCTGCCGCTGGTCACCGTGGCCTGGGGCCAGTACGGAGACTACGGGTATCCTTACCAGCAGTACCACGACTACAGTGATGACGGGTGGGTGAATCTGAACCGGCAGGGCTTCAGCTACCAGTGTCCCCATGGGCAGGTGGTGGTGGCCGTGAGGAGCATCTTCAACAAGAATGAAGGCTCGGACAGACAGTGGAATTACGCTTGCATGCCCACGCCACAGAACCTCGGGGAGCCCACGGAGTGCTGGTGGGAGGAAATCAACAGAGCTGGAATGGAGTGGTAAGGGCAGCCTGCGCTCTTGGACGGGGGGCATGGCCATGACAGCACATTTGTCCCCTGGGGGCCGCTTGACCCCAGCCTCCAGAGATGGGGCCAGGAACTCATTCTCGGGGCGGCTGGGGCAGGGCTGGCTGCCCAGCAGCCTACGTGACAGGACAGAAACCCAGGATGGGGAGTGCCCACGGCAGATGGGCTCCTCTGTGGTTCCGTTCCTTCCAGAGGCAGCCCTCCTCTCAATTTCGTCCAGGAACTACCGTGGGTCTGCGAAATGTTTACTAGCCTGCAAAAAGATCGGTACAGGAATTGAGGGTTTTTAAGACACTTTACAGTGTTGTGATGTCCAAATGGCATTTTCGTTTTGTAGTAATTTATTTTTACTATTTTGCAAAGGTATTGGTCCACAAGAGTTTGGGGACAATAAATGACTGGACCCTCACCGTGGACAGTTTGAGAAATGCAGATTTAAAACAAGTGAATGGGGGAGAGGGGACAAAGAAATTTAGGCAAGGAGAAGGGAAATGAAATACCTCTCTACTGCCCTGCTAAAAGGTGCTCTCTTGGTTATAGGAACCGAGGTCCTTCTCTCTGTCTGAATTTAAAGTGGGTTTCACTGCCAGAAAATAGTTTACTGAAGACTTTTAGGGAGAAGTGCTGTTCTGGCCTCACTGGGCTCTGCCACAGTCAATGGCATGGAAATGGTCCAAGCTGGTGCTTGGCTGTGGGGTGTGACAGTCCCAGCCCCAGACCTCAGTCAGGATCCCATCCCAGTACTACTGCCTGTGAGGCTGGCTATTCATGCAGACTGGATGGGAAGGCAGGACCCCTGGGGGGTGGGATGGGGGACGTGGGCTCTCGGGGAGGCAGGTCCAGTGAGGAAGAAGCCCCGCTGCCGCTGGGTTTTCTGGAGAGCAGGACTCTGTGAGGGCTCCAGCAGCGCATGGTGGAGAGTGGGTTGGGGTGGTCAAACTCTGGGGGACCGCACAATCAGCAGACTGAACCATGATGAGACCCCGGGAGGGAAAGACACTGACGCGTGTGTGCAGGAGCCGGGCAAGAGAGGGGACTTCTGAGTAGTCAAAACAACTGCCATTTATTGAGTGTTTACCCTGAGGTAGCACCATGCTGATGCTTTATATGGATTATCTCATTAATGCTCAAAACAAATCTATAAGTCATTTTATAGGTAGACAAATTGTGGTCTAGAGACCCAAATGTTTCCTCAGCCCAAAAGTGGTAAAGGCAGGATTTGGATCTAGTGAGTCTTAACTCCAAATTGTATGTCCTTGGCCACAGTGATGAGCTTCTCGAGAGCCTGCTGTCCCCGCCTGATGTGGGCCATCGGCCCAGCCAGGGGCCGGGACTGGACTCAGGGAAGTGGTTCATCCTGGGAGGATGGGATCTGCAAGGTCATAGTGGAAGCCGAGCCCGGGAGGTTTGGGGACCAGCTTGGTTACTGTGGCTGAGGAGGGGCTCAGCTTGTGGAAGGAATGGGGAGTGGGTCAAATAAGCAGCTGCAGGTGGGGCCCTTTACTGGGCCTCCCTTGTCTACCCCACTGCCTCTGGTGAGCAGATTTAATTATTCAAAACTCCTTCTGAAAGGTGACCAACTCAGAGTCCAGCCTTACCTCAAAGATCCCCTTAGCCAGGCCCATTGCCTGGCATGGAGCACAGCACCACCTTAGTCCACCCATCTAGGGGGCCATTATATGGGCGGGGCCCCTTTCTAATGCCCCTTTTTAGAGCCATATAGTAAAACAGCGCTCAGAGATGATTTCTTAACCCCAAAGGAAGAGCCCTGGGCTTGGAGTCAGAAGGCCTGGATTCGGACCCAGCTTCTAAAGGCCACGTGACCTTGCCCCAGGGGTTCAACTCTCTAGGCTCCTACCTCATCTGGAAAATGAGTGGTCACACTACGTGATCTCAGAAGAATCCACAACTCCAATACCGCATGCTCTGTTTGGCCTTGAAAATGCATTTGGATTTTTCTTGCATTCTGTTGATCCTTGTGTTTATCCCTGCTAGGGAGAGAAGGCAAATGATGTTTAGTTTTAAACTTGCCAACTTGCATCTGGTTTGTCATTAACTCCCAGACTGTTTGAAGCAAAGCAAAAGAGGAAGGGAGTGGACATGAGATGGGGGTTTTTTTGGCCAATGGGAGTCCAATAAGAGGCTGACGGGTAAGATCACTCTTCCACCCTCTTCCTCCACATTTTGGGCTGTGCTGACTCAAACGATTTTCCTTCTCCCTTTCCACCCCCTGTTGCCCCCTACTCTGCTAATCACAGAGTGAAAAATGCACAAACATGAAAAACAGTTCCTTTATGGTAAAACTCAACTGCCCCAGGTCTGATACCAATTACCCCAGAAGCACTTTTTTAGATGATTATTGCTTTGAGTTTAGACTTCAGTCCCAGTGAAAAATCTGGAAGGAAAGAATTTGCTCATAGGCTGAGTGAGGGGCAGTTACACTTCCCATGGGCTGCAAGCTTGTAATCTGCTCTGGGGGAAGAGCTGTGGACGGTTTTGTGAATTTGGCTGCCTTGTATAAGTGAATCAGCTTGCAGGTTTATTTTAAGAGGGAGGAAGAGTCTAAAACACAGATTTGACAACGATATATAGGACCTACTAAAGACACAGGCTAGGGGCGCCTGGGTGGCTCAGTTGGTTGAGCGGTTGCCTTCGGCTCAGGTCATGATCCTGGAGGCCCTGGATCGAGTCCCGCGTCGGGCTCCCTGCTCTGCGGGGAGTCTGCTTCTCCCTCCGACCCTCCCCCCTCTCATGTGCTCCATGCTTGCTCTCTCTCATTCTCTCTCTCTCAAATAAATAAGTAAAGTCTTTAAAAAAAAAAAAAAATTTAAAGACACAGGCTAACTGAAGCACAGATTTAAAAGGTGCTCCATGGGGTGCCTGGGTGGCTCAGTCTGTTAAGCGTCGGACTCTTGGCTTCAGCTCAGGCCATGATCTCGGGGTGCTGCAATCGAGCCCCGCATCGGGCTCTGCGCTCAGCACGGAGTCTGCTTCAGATTCTCCCCCTCTCCCTCCTGCTCACTCTCTCTCAAATAAAGAAATAAAATCTTTAAAAATAAATCAATAAAATAAAAGGTGTTCCAAGCATGGGCTGGGTGGCTCATAACACTGCTGTTCGCTATAGTTTCTCTGTAGAAAGCCACCTCTTCAGGGGCCATATTCTGGAGTGTGCAAGCCGGCTCCCCTATTAATGGCCACCAGGAGGCTTTCCCTGAGTCCCAAGAGTGGCACTTTGCCATTTCAGGGCATGCCTCGGTTGTTCTCAGGGAATCTCTAACTCGACGTGGCACGGGCTAGAGGACATGTGGGTCCTGTGTGGAGCAAAATGGAAGCTGGAATTTGCTAGTGAGGCTGAGCTGTCATGTGGTAGACGGAGCTCTGGTCTTAGAACCAGGAAATCTCGATTCACAGCTCCTGTTTCTATCATCTCTTAGCCCTGTGGTCCCGAGCATTTGATTCCTCATTCCCGAAAAAAAGGAGGGTGCGGCACCCGCCTCACAATAGGGGGTCTCACTGTGTGCGTGCAGGAGAAATGTATAGAGGCGGGACTCTAAATCTCAATGTAAAGAAATGCCTGGCACATCACAGGCGGTCAGTAAAGGTTTAATGAATCTGGAACTTGATGAGGCTGGTTTTGGGGCAAGCCAGATTTACATGGAGCCTGAATTCAAAAGAACAGCATTCTGTTTGTTGGCACCTGCTTCCCCCGCCCCCCCAACCCCCGGGGAGGGCCCTGGGCTTCAAAGGATCTCAGGAAGGTGTTTTTAAATGGCAGCTTCTCTCACAGCTGACAATTTAAATTTATGAATTCACCAAAGGCCAGTCATGTGACAGAGAAGAGGAGAAAGGAAAACTGTCCCAAGACCTGTGTTAGCATTAAGGTCAATCTGAAGCTGAGAATAGAGGGCAGAAACTCAGTTTGCCATAATCTGACTCTACTGGAGAGCAGGACTCTGTGTCGTACAGAGCAATGCCCCCGATTCATGGTTCTAAGCACTCAGGACACACAGTGCCCCCCCTCCTCTGAGAGTCTTTTTCAGACCACCTTGTCTGAACCCAAGTTCCCCACCCTCTACCCCCCAACCTGCTTTATATTTGCTGTGGTGCACCTGTCATTAGCTGATTTGTATTTGTACAGTGTTTGTCTCCTTCAAAACAGGCTTAACAAATGTAGGGACTTTGTCTTATTTGACGCTGCATAGGATATTCTCCAGGGCCTAGAATAATGTCGGTGCATAGTAGGACCACTAAATATGTATGCAAGACTAAATCAGACTAGTGAGTGCTTTGGGTAATTCAAATCCCAGTCAGTGTTCCACCCCCCACCCCCACACTCAACAAAGAAGCCTGCAGATTTTCCAGCAGGGGAAACCATTTTGTTCATATTTTTGGTTTTCAGGATCCCATTACCTATAATATAGGGCCCAGCTTTATTGTTCACCTCTCATTTTGGCTAGCTGCATTTGCTGCCCTGCAGGATGGTCTTCTGAGACTTTCTGAAGTTCTCTAAAACATGCACAGAGGATGTTGGACACACTTACCTCAGGATGAATTCTTTTTTTTTTTTTTTAAAGATTTTATTTATTTATTTGAGAGAGAGAATGAGATAGAGAGAGAGCACGAGAGGGGGGAGGGTCAGAGAGAGAGGCAGACTCCCCGATGAGCAGGGAGCCCGACGCGGGACTCGATCCCGGGACTCCAGGATCATGACCTGAGCTGAAGGCAGTCGCTTAACCAACTGAGCCACCCAGGCGCCCAGGATGAATTCTTAATTAGATTTCCATCCTACTATCCCCCAAATCTTACTGTCCCAATAATTTCAAAAATGCAATAGTGAGCTCTTTATTTCAAAAGCCACTTGGGCCAAATGCCACATGGTATTCTGGTTTGGATCTTGGAACAAAAAAAGGTCATTAGTGAGAAAACATGAAATCCAAACAAAGTCTGGAGTTAAGGGTTGTACCAGTGATAAT